CCGCGCTCGCCCCCGCCGCCGCCTCCGCTGCCGAGATCGGGGTCGAGAAGGGGCGGGGCAGAGGGTGGAGAGGGGCTAGCGGAGAACAGAGGGGCGCTGGGGGCTGGGAGGGAGACGTTTGACAGGTTTGTTGACTGTAAAGAGAGAAAACTTCCCAGGAATGAGGGAGTTGGAGGGGTGGGCTGCGGGGATCCAGGAGGAAGTCGGCCTGGGGCGCTAGGTTCTGCGGAGAGGGGTGTCGAACTCGCGGGCTGGCCAGCCAGGCCCGGCAAGGTTCACTTCTTCCCAGGCGCCGCCTCCTGGACGACCCTTCTGTAGCCTCTCCTGAGCCTCGAGGACGCGCTAGGCCTGCGCTCTGGCTGCGCAGCCGCCCGCCAGCTCCAACCCTCGTTCACTAGTGGGGTGAGGGTCGGGGAGGGGGACATTGGACAGCAGAACCAAGCGCTCTGCCGCCTACACAGGCGCGTGGGAGCCATCGGAGGGCAGGGGTGCAGCTCCCCAGAGCCTGAGGCACCCGAATCTCTGCAACCCCGCCGCCTAGAGCGCCTACTCCACGCGGCCTCGCGTGTCCGCGATTCCTGCCTCACTTTCCTCCCCGACTTGGCCAGGGCAGAGGGAGTGGGAGAGCCAGCTGCAGGTGAGATTCTCTAACGCCACAAAAATGTCTTTGATGCCCCTGGCCCCCTCCCCACGGTGGGGGGAGATCAAAGGCCCCGTGGGGAGGAGGGACAGCTCCATTCATCACGCAGAGCTAGCTGGCAGCGGGCGGGCAGCCGTCCCTGCTTCTCCAGCCAGGGCAGAGCCCCCTCTCCCCGTGTGCCCCAGGGGTGCCGAAGGACAGGTGGTGTAGGGCATTCCTCAGCAGAAGCTGGTTCCCCTATCGCCACCAGCTAGTGCGGCCTCCAACCTTTAAGGGTATATGGTGGGGTGTGGCGGACAGATCAAGGACCGTGTGCCTTTGGGGTGGACAGTTTGGGTTAGAAATGAAGACTCCTGGTATTTGGTGAGAGAGCAGGAGAGAGAGGAGATCGCTGGGGGAGAGAGGCTGCTGCAGGAGAGACTAACATTTGTGGTGACAGGAAGAGGGCAGCATCCTGAGCCCCCAGAGAGTAGGGGTGAGTGGATCAGGATGAGACGGAGTGACAGAAGACCACAGATGCCTGCCCAAGGGGAGGAAGGATGCCCAAGCTAAGCGAAAGCGGAGAAATTTTGGTCTGAGAGAAATTTTGGTCTGGGCACACCATGCAGCCTCTGCATTTACTGGGAGGGCACGCGAGGCAGCCCGTGGTGTCCAACCTCAAGACCGGGATACAGAGAGTTCGGGAGAGGGGGCTGGGTGACCAGAAGAGTGAAAAGAATTGAGAAAGATGGGGAGTGGCCCAAATGCTGTTCCCCTTGAAACCTTTAACAGCACCCACATATCATCATACCCCCCTGCACAGATCACCTTTGTACCCAGCCACCGTTACTGCAGGGCAGTGCAGTGCCAATCTGGAAACTCTTAAGACACACCCAGGTTGGGCACACACTCAGGCCAGATGGCATCCAACAGGTGGCCAGAGGGCTCTAAGGGTTTCTGGAAGCTGCAGGTGGCCAATGACAGGCTTCCAGGAAGCCTCAACTCAGGTTCTGAACCCCTTGCCCACCCCTCCCCCGTCCCCTGCTACTGTTATTGCAGATTATGAAACACTCTCCCTATCCTGCATTCTTCTCTGAGACAAGAATTTTAATGTATTTGTCTTTGTCATCAGGGGACCTGGGCCCTGGGACCGCCCTGCCTCTCTCTGCCTGAAGAGGGAGCACCCCAATTCTAGTCTTTGTGGCCTCCAGATCCAAGCCTCTCTCCACTACTGCCCCCTACATGGCCTAACCCTGCCTCTTGCCTCCCCCCATCAGACACAACCTCTCAGTGGGGTGGATAAAAATGATGTTATTGAAACAACAGAATTGGGAGCAGTGGCAGGGAGCAGGGATCAGCTCAGGAAACTGGGGCGTTAGCCAAGAAGCTTTCTCCCCCGCAGGCGGCCTTTCTGCCCCCACCCCCACCTTTCCTACAAACAGAACAACCAGCCCCACCCCTTCTGCAGCGCTCAGCCTGGCCAGAGCTTCCAGAACCTTTGCTGTCCTAGGGACTCCCAGCCCTTGTCCTTAACACTCACTACAGAGTCAGCTGGCCCACGAGTGCCTGCGTTAACATTGGGCAGGTCAGGCTGGGAGTTGTGATGGGGTGATTTTCTGGAGCCAGAATTCCCAGGAATTAATTCCCAGGGCAAACCTTGCCTCTGCACACTCCCCATTGCCCTCTCTGAATCCCTTTCTGGGCAGTGCTTGGCAACCTGGGCAGAGCGAGAGCAATTGACTCTTAATGCCCTTAAATCTTCAAATGTTCCTGAGACTTCAGTTCTTCACTCTCACCTTAGAACACCTCTCACAGAGCAAGGCTGGGGGACCAGAAGATACAGACAGATGCTCACAAAGATAGGCCAAGATATGTGCAACATGCATGCATGGACACACATGCATGCACACATGAATGGGGGGTGGGGAAGGCTGGCACTCAGGCTGCCAGATGTTTCCAGTTGCCATCAGATTGGTTTCTGACTTATGATATCCTGGTGCATGCAGAGAACTGCTCTATGGTCTTTACCTTTGCAAGTTTTCCATTAATCCACTAGAAACTGCAGGGCATCCAGGCAATGCTGCATCGATCTCACTCACAGGTATAGGTGTGGATGGATACACAGATGGTGTTGGCTCAATTTTGCCAAGACACAGTGTTTTCATGGCAAGATCTCTCTCTCTCTCTCTCTCTCTCTCTCTCTCTCTCTCTCACACACACACACACACACCCCTCTCAAGCGCACACACATACATGCACTCATCATCTCTGCACAGACATGCATGCAATGTAGCATCCATACATAGTTGGAGTGGGAATACAGCAATTCAGAATGGACAGCAGGAATGGAGAGGTGCCAACTGAATTCCCTCTTTCTGTCCTCTGAACACTGGGCCCGCCACCTCTGCCTCCAACACCCTACCTGAAGTCTTCAAAACCTGTCAACTCCACTTCTAGGTTCTGGTGCAACAGAGAGGCAGAGAAGGGGAGACGAGTGTCTGGCTGGAGGGTTGGAGAGGAAGGAGGGGCAGAGGTGGGGACTGTGAAGGGGGGAGAGGCAGCTGGAGATAGATAACATCAGAATCGCTGCAGGCAAAGCAGAGCCCTCTGTCTCTTGGATTCTCTTGCTGTCTTTTGTGTGTCTTTTCACGTCTCTCCCATCTCCATAATTCGGTCTCTCTCTATTTGTGTCTGTCTTTAAATCACTTTCTCTGTTTCTTTGTTTCTCAGAATGACTGAAGCTGCAGGAGCCCAGGAATTTGGGCCTGTGACCCTTCCCCTCCCTGTAACCTTCCTCTCTCTCTCCCTCCTCCCTCCTCCCCTTCCCCCCTTCTCTAGTAATGGGACCTAACTCCCATCCCTTTAGGGTAGTGGTAGGGCTTGAGAATTCCTAAGGGCCCTGGATCACTGGGTCCCTGGAGAACAGAGGAAAGGCTCCATCTCCAGAGAGACAGAGGGAAAATAAGAGACACAGAGAACTTTCTTTTTCCCTGTGCACCTCAGCCATGCTGGTGCCAGCTTTTCCATGGCCCACCTGAAATTATGAATCCATGGGAATGTATCTTTCCAACTGAGGCTGAGAGTTCAAAGGCCTGGTTCTGGCTTTAGCCTGTATGACCCCTACCTTGCAGGTTGAATTCCCTCTTAGAGGCCCTCTGGGACTTTATCCAAGAGAATCCCCAGCTCAGGCCTTGGCCAACCTGCCTCACATCTTCCACACCTCTCCAGTCTCCTCATACCTCCACCCCTTCGACTTCCCATCAATTAAACACAGAAAGAACCTAGGAAAGATTCTGAAGAGCAGTTCACAGGGGCTGAGGAGAGAGGGCTGTTGCCCACCCACCAGGACTGGGCTGGGGAAAAGCCAGGGAACATTTGTTTCCACTTAGCTTGGCCCCAGTGGCCCTGAGTGGGAGTGATTGGACCCCAGAGCCCGTCCGGCCATCTCAGGCCAGACTGACTTCTGCAGTACGGACTACAGGACGGGCAGGAGCTGCTGGCATGGTCACCCTCTCTCACGCCACCATCCAGGCCACACTGTCTATCTCCATTGCTTTTGCTCAACTCTTTCAGTGAATTAGGCTCCTAAGCTCAAGTCCTCAGACACAGCCTCTCTTGATTGTATTTCTGCCTGCTGGCTAGCTTTCCTAGGGTAACAGCATGTTTTAACTGAGCACCTTCCATGTGCAGGCCCCCAACTAGATAGTGGAGCATAGATGAGGAACAGGAACAGAATCTCAGAGCGCTGACTCTCACTAATCATATCCTCTCACAACCAAGTGGAAAAGCATGACTGGGCTAGGTGCAATGGAGAAGGGCTGGGGCTGGGACAGACTCAGGTCAGGGAGGGAGGGTGGAGGGTCATGGGGTAGAGGTGAAATAGGTTGGTTGCATGGAAAAGAA